TGTTTTGTAAACGGGTTAATTTAAATATTTTATTGTAAAAAAAACTCACCTCTTTTAATGTACAGTATGTGAGAGTAAACTTACATATACAGACTTGACGCTTGTTTACACTTGTCTTAGACTATTTACACACAGGGAATCTTTCCAACAGTTTTGATGCGCGAGCGAATTTGGATATTGTGTCGAGTAGGTTTTCACGGCTTTAAACAATATTATTGATGCCACATTTACCCTTATGCAACTAGTACTTTTTTCGTTATACTGCTATCTATAAGATATAATGTGTTACCCATCAGCCGGACAAGTTTATTGTAGGAAGCAGTAATCTCAACAAGGTTTTGACTCAAATTAACAAATAATTTTTATGTTATTACGAGTCATGATATAACGTTGACATAAAAATAAACAATCTTCAATTCGGACGATGCCACTTCTGGAGGAAATCAAGTTGTTGAGAAGACACAGAATTAAGCAAGTCTGAAAATTTTTGGATGCCCGATAATTGCACGGAAGGAATACCATCTATTGTGGAAAGTTATAAATTACGAATCACATTGCATTTTCGGTTACATTAATACTTTAATAAACACACGTTATTTGTATTAGGTGTAACGATACTGTGACAGTTTACTGGGAGTATCACGTTTACAAAATAATATTTGTTTGCTTGGGGAGCTTACCTCTTCTGACAGATTTGGCACGTAGGTAAATTAAGAAAATAGGCACTTATAAAATTTCTACAATAAGGTTAATTAATGAGAGCGGCTTGATAATCAATGATTTGCTTTTAAAAATCACTGCGTCAGACAGTAAGCATACTGATATTGACTGTCGGACATCATTTGTTCTATTTTCTCGCTCGGGGGTAGTCCTGTTTGCCAACAAACAAGTAAGAAAGAACCGATTACAAAAGTGCAAAGTAAGAGATTACTGGCATATTGTATGTTCTATTCGGAAACACAGAATGACAAAATAATCAGTAATTCCAAATTCATGTTTTGTTGAAAAACTTTGTTACAGCCTTGAATATAAACCCGCGTTTGTTTGTTATCTTATTTAACACATCAAATTAACAAAATTAAGATCAATAATATTTATTATTATTACGATAAAGACAACCGATCTTCATAGGATAGTAATAATGTTGTATGTAATTTGCGTCACAATGTAAATTCCGCATCTACATGTATGTGTAATTTGTGGTACGCAATTTACATATGACATGTAATTTTGTGGCAAAGGCAATTTATATATGTGATTTGCACCAAAGTTTCCAAATCGTATATGTAATTTGAGACGCATAATTAACTTTATAAGCGTATGTTGCATAAATATGTTTGTTTATATCATAATAGCAATCATGACAGCGTTTATTTATAAAGTACATGAAATTTGACATATTTAAAAATTCCGGCAACTAAAACTAGTTTTATGACAATGAATTTGTTTTGTTTTTATAACTGCATTCATTACCTAGACATAAACTTTTGCATGTACACCTAGTCTTTCTGCCAGATACAGCAGTAACGACGCTTTGCGCTCTCGCTGCTTCTCTTAATGTTATTGGTAAAGTTTTAGCATTACTGTTACACTGTAAGCATAGTCTATTACAATCTAACCGACGACTGTGGATTGTTTTGCAATTATTGATATAAGTTTTAGCATTGTGCTTAGCTGTAAAGTTGATCAGATCGTACAATAATTTAGATTTAGAACGTAAATGGCTATTTGACAATATTTATATTAGCTTACATATATGTCATAATCTAAGAAACGCGCAATAGTGCAGTTTGACAGGCTAAATTAATCTGTTAATTTCGATATGTGATAAATATTTCACAATGCTTCCATACTCGCTGACATTAGTTTCAAATGCAGACATTGCCTCATATACACTAACGATGACGAATATCAAACAAGTTGTCGTATGAATACAAAATATGTGAAGAGTGAATAGTAAAGAACGTAGATACAATTTAGCGACGAAATAGTTATATATGTCTTACAATGTTGTAAATTTCTAAGAATCTAATAAACTTGCACATATTGTTATCGAAGAATTGATTTCCTTTATGGTTATACTCAATATTTGTCAGAGAGGTTTCCGAGAGAAAAAAAATATTCGATTCTTCGTTTAATAAACAGTATTGTGTTGTTACTAATATTAAATAGTTCGAATTATGATAAACTCTTCTTTTTTTTTGCTCAAACTATTTAGCGCCTGATATGAATTGAGTATTATAAGCGATGGATGTGTTACTAATACATTAACGTTAGTTACGGATTTGGGGACGTTGGCGCAAATCACATATGTAAATTGCGTTTGGGGACTTTTGCCACAAATTACATGTATAATCCGAGATTTACATAGTGACGCAAATTACATATGTCATACTAATACTGGGAAATAAAGAAGCGGTTGTTTACGTTCATGCGAGACATAACGTTTTACGGATTCTGTTGAAGACGATACCATATGGTTGTGATGCGTTGTACGACAAAAGCTTGATTAATGAGGGTCATCATTGCGATACAAATAAAAAAATACTGAATTTTGCAAGCAATCATTGCCGTATTTATTCGCAATTTAGTCATTGTATACGCTTTTTTGTAATGGTTATTATTTGTGCCGAGGACGTATCCTCTTCTTTTAACTGTTTCCAAAGAGCAGTTTGATAGTGTTGTTACCGACTTCAATGTTTATCATCTTTGGTAAAGAGAGAGAAAGAGACAAATAGACAGCAGTATTATTAATGTTACCTCAATTACACGCAGTAAAGACTGCTTCAACAGCATTCGTTACCGTCTCACATTTAAGACGATCATTATAATATCACTGTCGCACATCAAAATTAAAAGATCGGAAACACTACATATGGAATTTATCATAAATTGTTGTACCCCCGTGCATTGTTCGCTAATTAATATATATTTCCTTTCCCATCGTCTCCAGGTTTTCTAATCGTTATTTGAAATAATGAAGACTGTTATAATCCCCCTTGTCGAACTAAATGTTCCCGGTTGCGACTGTACCATATCTGCGCATAGGTTTGATGCAGAGTGGTGCCTCGACTTGCACGGATACCTTAATCGCGAGGAATTTGCTGCTCGATTAAGAGAAATCAACAACTATATTAAACAGTATCCGTTGTTGAGTTCAAAGCAAAAAAGTTATCTCACGTACGTTATCTCTGGAATGGCCATATTTGTGGCTTTTGTCGCCTTTATTCTTATTTTTACCACAGAGTATAGCTCTATAAATGATATTACCTTCCCCGCTGTCACAATTGATGGCATACTTGGACTCCTACTTCCAATAGGACGAAAAATTATTGATCAAATAGCAAAAAATCGTACCATATTATTTTCGCAAGCCTTGCAACCTGTGCTCGACCATTATAATCGACAAGAAAACCCAACCGCTAATTGGAAGCTTGTTTGGCGTGTTGTTGTCACTCATTATAGCATAAAAATAGACTCGCACGGTAATGGTTCAGCTAAACCAGTATACGCCGAGCAAGCAGAGTTAGTGGTCGAAATCAATGACGCTCTCGCCAATCTTACGGCTCATACCGTCCGCCTAAACCTTCCTCTTACTACAGTGTCTAGGCCATCTACTGTAGCCCCTACGTCCTCCACTACGGTTTCTAGGGTGTCTACTATAAATACTACTTATCCTCCTCGGAAGGGTGTGTCATAAGCGTACGGTATATTGAGAGCAATTCTGACAAACAATTTATTGTTTTTTAGTAGACATTATCGAACACTGAACATTATTTATATTTACACGATTATAGCAATTGAACAATTGGTTCTAGATTTTGTTACCGCTTTCTACAAATTGTTTTTTTATTTAACTTTGTAGTACTTTAAACTATTTATCGTCATTATTATTGTTATTTTATACAAGTATATTTTATTATTATCGAATACACATATTATTAACTCGATATATTTTATTAAAACATGAAAAGTAAACTCGCTTCTTATTAGTCTGTCGAGATCAGTAGTTGTATAATCAAACTTGTTTACAACATGGCGTGCAAAATGAAATAGCACAAAGTCGGTCATTTACTTGATTAAAATATGGGATATAGAAACCCGTGCCCGTACCATGCCAGTATTAGCAATAAACAGAATGATAGGACAGCAAGTTATTGTACGATTATCCATTACTTGATGAGTTATCAAGCAATTTACACTAGTCATACAATTTGACGATTATTCTTTGTCGATTTACGAAAATCAATCAATATTATAGGTGAGTTGCTTTGTAACTATTTTAGCATTATTCAACTATTCTTCCTGATCTTCGGCACAGCATTGGCCTAGGTTGTGCAGTTTTTGTGAAATATACTTTTAATTTGATCACATGTGTTTATACGATTTTCCTTATGACAAAGTAATCGTTTTGCGTATGTAAATGCAGGTTTGGAACTACATAGATTACGTTTTTTATGCTAAAATTACAAACTTTAAAATAGCATACAAAAATCCAGTGTTTATACGCACGTAGGATTGATACCATATAATTTTATAATGTTGTTACCTGATTGTCTTTTAATGTTCTAATCTGCATATGTGCCCATTTGGAATGGGCACAAAATCCAAACTAACAACGATTAACATACAATTTAATAAAAGATACGTAGTCGCTGCCTGCAATGTCAATTTATCTCTCTTTCATAAGATGGACTACACTATAATATGGGATAAACGTCAACAAGTCTAATGGTTATTTTCATAAAGTCCCTGAGCTAAGACTTTGATTGATATAATAATCTTGTATCTTGGCTTTCACCGCTACTGTATTTACCATGCCTTCTGCATTTATAAACCTGATGATTTGTTTACTGACAATAGCAAAATTTGGCTTCTACTCATCTGCTCTTACTGTAATATTATAATCGATAGACTATCTTTGTCACACCAGAGTAATGTGTGTGACGTCACAAATGCAACACAATAAATGGATTCTTTTGTCCTCGTTAGTCTAGGAATCAATGACATGAGTAACCCGGATATTGACAATCTGATTCAAGCCTCCTTGGAAAGTGTCAATAAACACTTAACACTCAAATGGATTTCTCGTTCGGAAATCACTGATGTAACGTCAACTTCAATGGACAACGTCTATTACGCTATTCGCAAGCGAACGTTTGGTAATGGTACAGTTGATGAAAGGGGGATAATGATACTATGCCTTGGAAGCACCGAAGAATGTACACCAACGTGCGTGAGTGAGTTTGCTAAAATATACTCTCTTCCAACACACAAATACAATAACAATACCAATCAATACAGACGATATAAGGAATGGCTTACTTATCGCAACGAACGGATATATGGATTTACCGAGTATGACGACAAGTATTACATGGTTGCAAATAGAAAGTTTTACCACTGTTACTCTCTCTATGGATTCTGCTCCGCATGTGGAATACTCCGATGTAGTCCCGTGTGGTGCATTTGCGGTCATAAAGAATTATCCAATGGATGGACTAGCGACGACAAGCAACTTGATGAGTTTATTAAGAAATCTCAATTACAACCAATCTCTGCAAATCAAACCTATTTGGAATGGATTCCATACGATTGTATTAAGAATGACGGATATGGGTTATACTTGCATGGTCTACCTACACTTACTTATACTAGGCTTCAATTGATTCTACTTGAGATTACACATGATTTATATTATGCTGAGGTAAACTATTTACTTATGCATCATGTTTATTGAATCGTTTAAATAACTATTGACATATTATTATGTATCACTTCCACTAGTTATGTGATAAGCATCCAGATATTCTTACCACAGATGTTTGGGTTACCATCGGATTTACATACGACACAAAGAAACAAAAGTATTGTCTAATAAAGCGTGAGGGTGGATTATGTCTGATGTGTAGATGCCGGTTAGAACCTAAAATAAATGCATTCTGTTACGAATGTAAAAAACCAACACCTCTTAATTGGACCACAAACAACAAATCTTTAGATTAATTCATTATGGAGTCGTGGAGTAATACAAAGAACAAATATGATGCCTATATACAATGGATAGAGCATTCCCTATTGACGAACGTCCGAGACATGACCTCGTTATGCCATGATTGCACACGTATGGCAGATTGGTTGGATCCAGTCATAAATGAATCGATACGGGTTACACTCAAGCAGATAGATGATGCCCAGTCACTTGATTATGAATTTCATCAGGTAATTATTTTACACAAAAATAATGCAAATAGTATTATTAACACTTTGTATTAGTATCGCACATTTAAAATGGATTGTAATGATTGTATTTATTCAAATTAGCTGACTCGGGAATACCCGGAAATATTAACACCAGATAATATTTGGATAATTGGAATTACTCAAGAACCATCTACTCGGAAATATTATTTAGTTTTCTATTATGACACACACGCAATATTGGACAGGTTTATGCGAAATAATGAACAAGTAAAGTATATGCAATACAGCGACTTTGACGAAATTAAACAGATCGGATCTGGTGGCTACGGAACAGTTTATACTGCTAAATATAAAAACTATTTAGAAGATAAGGATATTTATGGAGAAACTGTTGTACTAAAACGGTTTAAAGATTTTGATCAGATGCCGGAATTATTTATCTCTGAGGTAAGCAACAAATTAGTATTATTATTAATATAAGTGATAATTAATTTGACCCCTATAATTGTTATGCTCAATAGTTCAGAAATCATGCCAAGTGCATAACGCGTCATGAATTGGATAATTTTTTTCTTAAAATTCATGGAGTGACACAAGACCCAGAAACAAAAGAGTACATAATTGTTATGCAGTATGCTAACGATGGTAGTCTTTTGTCTTATTTGGGTCAAAACATTAGCAAATTGACATGGAAAATGAAATTGGATTATTTGTACGATATTGCACGTTATCTGTCTGTTATTCATGATACGGGATTAGTGCACTGCGACCTTCATGGTGGAAACATAGTGTTGCATACTTATCAGACATTTATATGCGATCTCGGCCTCTCACGATCAGTGAAGTTACAACAGTCAAATTCAACTATTCGAGGCGTTTTACCGTTTATCGCACCGGAAGTCTTTCATACTTGCAGATTTACTCAGAAAGCAGATGTGTATTCTTTTGGCATAATTATGTACTTGATTGCGACAGGTGAACCACCGTTTAGAAATAGACCATTCGATAGAGATTTGGTATGCGATATTATGGGTGGAGCACGACCATCGATGCCTGATTCTGCACCAGAGGAATACAAGAAACTTGCCGAACGGTGTTGTGATGCTGATCCTGATAAGCGTCTTGATGCACATATACTTTACTGGGATATTGTTAGGCTTAGGAACAAGGTGGACAAGGATAATTCTGTCAGTAACGCATGGAACACTATCTATCATAATGACGTAAAACCCTTGTCGCCTTTCGAAAAGACTCTAGTAAACTCTTACCTACTGGGAGTTTGCCCAAACCAAGCAACAGTTATGATATTGATTCAATCGCAGGTATGATGAAAGCAATTGGTTACGTGCTGATAAAGTCAATTTACAATATTAATCACGTCTATTGTCTATAATTATTAGTGACTCACAATTTTAAATGAAACAGTCTCATGAGTTTTACTCAATAGTTTACCGATTTTTATAAATAAAATGCTCGACATGAATTAAAATAAAATGGTGCACGATGTATCGATGGAATTAAACTAGAAGTTGCTTATTTTTATTAGAGTATGTAAGAAAAGTTAAACATTTATTATTTAAAATATCGAGACCTAACAATATACTGTTCTTCACGTCATTCAAACGTTCTCTTGGAGGTGGATAAACTTTTGCTGTTGTTCTGTTGAGTTACGCCTGAAATGGACAAACGACGCCTTAGAAATTCGTAACAATTTATTCAATAAGAGCTAATTGACGGCTGACATTCGTGGAACTATGACCATGGTCAACTTTTAACAACGTTCAAATCTCTCACAAGTTGATTACGTATTTAATTCAGAACACAGTAAACAAAAAATTTAGATCAAAATTCAAAGTAGAAAGTACAAATTACTCCTCCCGCCATTGGCCCAGTGTAGATAAATCTCGCCAAGGTCTCGAAAACAGCAAATAGTTTTCTTGTTTTGTTAATAAGACAGCTTTCTCATAACAAGCGCAATTCGATGTTTTCTAGCGAAAAAAAGTGGTATGTAAACAGGTTAAGTCAAAGTATTTTATTCTAAAGAAAGCTTGCCTAGGGTAAATTTACGTATACAGATTTAACGCTGGTTTACACTTGTCTGCATAACAGGGAATTTTCCCAACAATTTTGATGCGCGAGCGAATTTGGATATTGTGTCGAGTTGGGACACTGTTTCACGACTTTCTAAATAAATATAATTTATGTTAAATTTTTTACGCAACTAGTGCTTTTAGTTATAATGCTATTACTATCTAGAAGTTATCAATCTGTTATCCATCAGCCTGACGGTTTTATTTAACGCTATAATGACCTCGCATTTCGAGTACTGTTCATTCTTACTTTACGGGTTACTGATTTTGCAGATCTTATACACTTTCCTAACCGCACTAACTAAGTGGGGGAGGCAATCATAACGCCGACGTAATATTTCGCCGACGATCATTTCACCGAAAATCATTTCGCCGACAATCATTTCGCCGCCGACAACGACTACCA